AGGACATTGTGCGAGTGAGTGACGAGAACTGCGGGCGGAGAAGGGTTCCGAGGGGACGTGAGAGGCGGAAGGCCATTGTTGAGATGGAGATTGAGAGGGGGCTGACTGAAGGTTTATATGCAGGGACGGGACGGATGTCGGAATTGGAGGATTGGAGGCGCGCCCTTTGGTGTGGGGGTGTTTGGGAGGTTGCAGGGCGTAGGGTTGTGTGGGGTAATTCTGGCATGGTATTTCTTGCTGGGAGATGGCTGTCGGGCATGCAAATTGCAAAAAAGAGATAATGTGGCTACCTGCGGTTTGCGGTTGCAAAGTTGCATGCAAGGCTGACGAGGCAGTACGCCTTGTTGGCTTTGCCCAATGTACGGGTCATAATGGCGTAAGCACAGAACCTCTGGTTAAGTATATCCGTTGCCTCCCACGGGCCACCTCTCTCCAGCAAGTTTCACGAGTTGAAGCCGTAAAGAAAATCCATCTTCAAAGTTACGGCCGAGCAAAAAAATACGAGACCAGTCCCAATGTCCCGCCCCATAGAGGAATCAACGCTCAGCGTGCCGCCGGCCCGTCCACCAGTCCACCTTGTCATCCACCGCGACGACACAACAGTCACCGTCATCGGCGTCTACGCGAGCCTCACAGACGCTAATACGGAATGTATATCCTTGGGCAAGGAAGCTGGGATGCAGTTAACGGGCGAGTCGGGCGAGATGGCCCCCGAAGACAGGGAGCTTATGCCTATTGAGCCGATGAGATGGGACTCGGTCGCGGGGGTGTCGTGCTGGGTCGAGACGCACCATGTCAAGCTGGCGAGGAGTTGATTGTCGCCGTAGGTTTGAGGTGTCTGGATGACACGGTTCAGGACTAGGTAGTTTGGGCCATTTTGAGGTGGTGAGGGGTTGTCGGTGTTGCTGGCATGGGTGACGTATTGACGCCAAGTGAGTTCATTTCGGGGCCAGAGTGCGCCGAGTCACTTGTATTCTGTTACGCCGCAAATGAAGAGCTGTATGATTTGAGATGTTGAATATCCCTAAGACTGAGGGTTTGAAAATTGAGGCAGATTTGCGCAGTTTCGGTTGCTTCAGGGTAGGTCATCGTTCAGTGTTTGCGCAGATTTGAGCTGGGAGACGTGGGTATTCTGTTGCGAGAGGCTGCGACTATTGATTGAAGAGTTTTACACAAGTCCATATAAAGGTAGGCTTCATTTTCCGGAATGTTGAATGATTTCTCCAAGGCCTTGAGGGGTTGATGTGAGTAGAATTAGGACTGATGTCGATGGCGGGACATGATCAGGCTAGGAGTGACGTAAACAACATTTGAAGCTTTGGCTCGGCTACTGTTTCAATATTGCATTTTCCCGGTCCAACAAAGGAAATTGCCCGCTCACGTCGGCTGCGCCTCGTCATGCCAGCTTGAGCAGCCACAGATAAAGCATGGAACCGCTGCCGCAACCCCGGCTTCTAGTTGCATTCTCTTGGTTGAACTCGGACGACACTTCGACTCCACCACTGCGGCTCATTCGCTCATCCATCCCACTCGCCTGCCAACATTCAGTCCGCTCGAACCTAGAATCGACCAATATCGACTTGCCAAACACACACGACGGCCTCTACCCCCTGAATGGATAGGCCGGCCGAGCAGTGTATGATTGCTGCACTCACTGTTCCGTCATGGCCGAGGTGGAGGAGCTGCCCACCTTCGGCGCCGCACTGAAGGCGAGTCGAATGTTGCACGATTGCGTGTTGCATGTTTTGCTGACACTCAACCCCATCGCCCGCATCCTCCCACCAGACTGCGACTAGACCGCATGCTGACTTGTTTCCTAGGATGGGTTCAAGCCAGCGAGCGCCTGGGTCGGCCACGGCATTGCCTGGCTGGACGATATCCAGCAGTTTTACCGCGAGCGCTCTCTTATCGAGAAGGAATACGGCGCCAAGCTGAGCGCCTTGGCCAAGAAGTATTTCGAAAAGAAGAATAAGAAGTCGTCGCAGCTAAGCGTTGGCGATACGCCTACCCTGACACCTGGGTCGCTCGAGAGGTATGACGACGCTCCTGCGAGGCTGCCCGTGGTGCACACCTGAATCTAACGCTTTGTCCAGTGCTTCGCTCACCACATGGTCTACCCAACTCACAACCCTCGAATCCCGGGCTGCCGAGCACGACAAGTACGGCAACCTCCTCATCTCACAAGTCGCCGAACCCCTCAAATACTACGGCGCCCGCTTCGAAGAGCTGCGCAAGCGACACATTGAATACGCCGACAAGCTTGCCGCCGAGCGCGACGCATCCTACGGCGACCTGCGCAAAGTCAAAGGCAAATACGACGCCGTCTGTCAAGAAGTTGAGACTCGGCGCAAAAAATCAGAGTCGCACCACGACAAGGCCAAGGCCCAGAGCGCCTACCAACAACAAATCTACGAAATGAACAATGCCAAAAACAGCTATCTCATTGCCATCAACGTCACCAATAAGCACAAGGAAAAGTACTACCACGAATATGTCCCCGAGGTCATGGACAGTTTACAGGATCTGAACGAATTCCGAACGCTAAAGCTGAATGGGCTGTGGGGAGTCGCTGCTAGTCTGGAGGGTACAATGCTGCGAGCTAGCTCTAGCATGATGGATCACTTGGGACAGGAGGTTACCCGAAACCTGCCGCATCTGGACTCGAGGATGTACATGCAACACAACGTGGGGTCCTTCCAGGAGCCCGCGGACAGGGAGTTTGAACCCAGCCCCGTATGGCACGACGATGCGACCATGGTGGTGGACGAGACGGCAAAGATTTATCTGCGGAACGTGCTGAGCAAATCCAAATCGCAGCTGGGCGAGCTTCGACGGGAGGTGGACAAGAAACGGCGCGAGGTGGAATCGGAGAAGAAGCTAAAGCAGCGGGTGCGAGAGGGGACCGAGAAGAAGGACGAGGTGGAAGTGGTGCGCTCGCTCCTTGCTAAGCAAGAAGAGCTTCACGCGCTGGACCGACAACGGCTAACGGCCGAGGTCGAAACCGGCACCATTACCGCCGTGGTAGGAGACGTCACCCTCGGAGCAAAGAACCACAACTTCAAGGTGCAGACATTCAAGATGCCGACCAACTGCGATCTCTGCGGCGGGCGCATCTGGGGACTGAGCGCCAAGGGCTTGGACTGCCGAGACTGCGGCTACACCTGCCATAGTAAATGCGAGATGACGGTGCCCGCAGACTGCCCCGGCGAGCAGAGCAAAGACGAGCGCAAAAAGCTCAAGGCTGAGCGCCAGGAAGCTGCCAATCGTCTGGTGGCGCGGGATCCCGCGGCGCCCTCACACGTCGCTGATCTGCCCGACTTGACCAGGTCAAACACGATGAATTCACTGAGCTCACATTCCGCCAAGAGGTCGGTATCCGGCCAACTCACGCCCGCTGAACTAGATGGCGGCGAGCCGCCTCTCGCAGCGCGCGCGAGCATATCGTCGAATCCTACGGGCGGCACCACCACCACCACCTCGTCCACGGCCGCCACGGGAACGCGGAAGAGAATGGCCGCTCCACCCCCAGCTGCGTATATCAGCGAAGTACCAGGAAGTGGGGTCAATGGCAACGGGCACAAGGAGGAGAGGAAGGGAAAGATGCTGTATCCCTTTGAAGCCAGTGGTGACGGGGAGCTGTCGGTGGCAGAAGGCAGGGACGTGACTCTCCTAGAAGCAGACGGTACGTTGAAAGAAAAAAAAAACACACAGACACACTTGCTCGCATTTCTTTATTTTTCATGTATACGTTGTTTATTAACAAATCGCAGATGGCTCCGGCTGGGTCAAGGTGCGCGCCGGCTACATGGAAGGCATCGTCCCCGCGTCATATGTCGAGTTTGCAGCGCCCAGTGTCCCGACGGCCACACGGCCCGAATCGACGTACTCGACCTCGACGACGTCGTCAACAGGGCCGGGCGGCAAGAAGAAGGGTCCCGCGGTGGCGCCGCGCCGGGGCGCCAAGAAGCTGAAGTACGTCGAGGCGCTGTACGAGTACTCGGCACAGAGTGCGGACGAGCATTCCATGGTGGAGGGGGAGCGGTTCGTGCTCGTCAAGGAGGATCCCGGGGATGGGTGGGTGGAGGTTGAGAAGGCCGGCGTTACGGCCAGCGTGCCTGCGAGTTATGTCCAGGTTGTGTAGGGCGACTTTTGGGGGTGGGAGTTGGCGGAGCCTGAACGGGGAGCGTATACATGCGTGGTTTGTTTTGCATCGGCTTGGATGAGAAGATGGCAGAGCTTAAATTGTAGATTATACTAATGCCGTTTTTGGGGCTGTGCGTGGTGATTAAAGAAGGGAATATGTGGGCGTGCTGGCATGTATATGCTGCGACTGCCGCTTACACACCAAGCGAGGCAAACCGATTGGGTCAATGTAATACGAGGACGTACGGGAGGCCACGAGTCACCAACAACCGGACGGTGAAAGAAGCCAAGACGCCTATGTACTCGAGTGCGTCTGGTGGTCGTGTGCAAGAGTCTGCCACAGCTGGTATGGATGGCCGGAATGCAGACATGGCCATTGTCAAATCGTTGTACCTGAAGATGGGTATAGCTCCCTGCATTCACCGCCCCGGCAGCACAGGTGCGGACTCATGGTTCGTTTCGGTACCAACATTGTGCCATGTGAATGTGAGTCTGTTACTGCGTACACCTTGGGCCTAGGTAGGTATACTTCTGGACTTGGTAGCGTGCATTTTTTTGTCTCCTTAGAAACCCCCTTGATCCCCCAACCTCGTCTGTAAAGGGGCTGGGGACTTGAGCCAAGACGGGCATGCTTTTCGGAGAGACACTAGTCCAGCCCGATGTTTTATTTAACAAGATCGAGGCCATAATGATGTGGCCGCGTTCTATATATACTTTAATTGTAGCGAGATTGCACTTTCCTGATGGTGGAATTTCAATTCGTTGGAAATTATTGTATCAAAGCGGGGGATTTCGCCGCCAAACTGTCGAGAGAATGCAAGGCGGGTTTTTGGAGGGAGTAGACGGCGAAAAAAACTTCAGGACCGATATTTCTTGGTATCCTGGTGGAGGTGTTCTGTTGTGTATCATGGCAGGCTGTTGGGTGAATCCCCAGACTCACGGCAATGTGGCTATATATACCATGCAATCACCTGGAGTCACTATATTGACAGGTAGGGGGGAAGGGCACGGAGACACGGCAAAGATGTACGTATTATCGGCGTCTTGTCCCCCTTTGCCTGAGCACTTGATGCGCCCGGCGAGCATATCCCTCCAGATGACTACATTCTCAGTCCTTGACATGGCTCAGCGTCTCTGGATTGTGAGCCACCTTGTGGCCGTGTTGGTCTGTGAAAAGCACCTTTGGCTAGGTTAGCGCCTTGCTCTTGCGAGACAAGCACTGCCGATTCTGCCGCACCTTTGGAGGATTCTTGGTTCCAGTCTCTTGAGCCTCTTCTTCCGTGCGAACAACGCCTCCCACCGGTCCTTGGTGCTTGCCGCCTCGGACTGGAGTCCACACTTGGTCTCCTTCACGAATGGCCTTGGACGCTTTGTCTTTCAGATCCCGAGGCATGGCTCATGCGGCAGATGTTATTGAATGAGGCCTAGCTGCTCAGAAACAGAAAAGCACGCGTATTTATGCAAGCGGGTGCTCGATTATTCGAGCGGCAGAGTGGGGAAATGGCACAGGACGTAATCTCAACGTCACCACTGGACTGGCCTATTTGTCGTCACAGAGGCGATGCAGTCGTGCAATGTGGCTGGTTTGTTGGCTAGAAGCAACACACAACCAGCCGTACGCGATAACGCCTGTGCAAGTCACGACAGCACGACATGTCTCAACCCTCTGCAGATGGGGCCTGTACCAATTGCTAAATTGATGTTAAAATGGCACCTGGGGTCACTTATTACGGGTACTAATTACGTACGCGTAACTAGAAAAGGGTATACTCTTAATTATAAGTGAATAATTATAATAATAAGTGTACTTATAAAAAGAGTATATATAATTTTCTCTTTTATAATAAAATATAAATATATATATATAT